AAAATTACCATAAAAACCCGATAACACTAGCCGTATGTAAAAAAATTCAGTTGTTTCGTCAGAAAATTACCATAAAAACCCGATAACACTGCCGTATGTAAAAAAATTCAGTTGTTTCGTCAGAAAATTACCATAAAAACCCGATAACACTGCCGTATGTAAAAAATTCAGTTGTTTCGTCAGAAAATTACCATAAAAACCCGATAACACTGCCGTATGTAAAATATTCAGTTGTTTCGAAATCAGTTTCCAATTTTGCGTGGCGCAAGTATGGCCGAAGTTACGAGAAGGCCAGCTCACTATATCATAACGTACATGTTTAACATATACATGAATAAGAAAACAAGCATCAGAGATTTTCACAACATCAGATCACTATATCACAACGTACATGTTGAAAATATATACCGATAAGAAAAGCATCACAAATTGTAACAACATTAGATCACTGTATCACAACGTACATGTTAAAAATATACACCGATAAGAAAACAAGCATCAAATATTGTTATAACATCAGATCACTATAATCCAACCTACACGTTGAAAGTATACACTGATAAGAAAACAAGCATCACAGTTGGAACAACATCAGATCACTATATCACAACGTAGTACATGTTGAAAATATACACCGATAAGAAAACAAGCATCAAATATTGTTATAACATCAGATCACTATATCACAACCTACACGTTGAAAGTATACACTGATAAGAAAACAAGCATCACAGTTGGAACAACATCAGATCACTATATCACAACGTAGTACATGTTGAAAATATACACCGATAAGAAAACAAGCATCAAATATTGTTATAACATCAGATCACTATATCACAACCTATATGTTTAACATATACATCAATAAGAAAACAAGCATAACAGTTTTACTATAAATCGCTTAAAAATAAAAATAATTTACTCTTCACATCGCTGGTTTTATGTATCAATTAAGCTTTTTATGGAAAACTTACGTCTCGAAAGCCTAATTGAAACTGTCGTTTATTTTCTGTCCTTAGGCCTACTTTAGAATTGATTAAATACTTACGGTTAAATACTTTATCCAGCAAATCGTCGTATTGACAAGTCTTACAAACACATAAAAAGTATATTTAATGGAAGCAAATCTTATTTCAAAAAAGCCAAACAATTTTGTAAAGATTTACATTAATATTCCGTTTGATATTATAAGTGAATAGTTCGAAAGAAAGTTGTTGAACCAGATATGAATATAATGATCAAGTTGGAAAATAGCATGAATAGAATCATAGAAATTTCGATAAGTTATGGTTCCATCTTGTGTTAAATAAAAAGAAAAGAAGGGTGGCCCCTCGTTGTTGCGCGCGTCAACATGAAAAAAACAACAACAAAATCTCCGTCAACGTTTTGTTTTTCCAGATTAGAAACAATAAATATTAACTGAAAAGCTGCACATATCCAATATGTATAGATCATTTGTGACAAATATAAAGTCTTAAAACTGAAAAGTTTGTTTGTTTCAGAATTTTTCCATAAAGTTGCATAAAGGCCTATTGTGAACATCCGTCCCAAATTTTGAACAGATAGATTAGAAAATACCCAACTGTAAGGTCTTGGGTTGTTCTTGTTTAAAGTGCGGAGTATGTTTTTGTGATAACTGGTTTTGAACCATGAACCCTCAGATTCAAGATCCGAGCCCAATATCCAGGAGGCCCTCGTCAGGCCCAAACCTAAATCGAAAAATTGTAAACAACAACAAAAATCTATTGAAACCTGGTATTTTGTCAATAATGCGTTAAAATTCACACAATTGCTTTTAAAGTACTCAAATGATCTACTGTTCTTTCGTTTTTATTAACGAATAAATAAACAAGTAATACAACAACAACAGCAAAAAAATGTGTCACCGCATGGTTTGGTAGAGAGAACGTTCACATTTTATTAAATATAAATATATATATAGACACTGCAAAGGTGTTAGTCTATTGCTCTAAGCCAGGTCGTTAGATTTGATACAAATTTAGTTGAAAAAGTTAGTAACTGTAAATATTCATGCATTTTTGAGGTGAAGCAAAATTAGTTAGAAAACAAAAATACCTGAATTTGAAATACACTTTCGTGATCTGAAAATATATATTGCTTTTATTTGGACTCAAAGTATCATTCCTCACAAACCAAGCCCCTTTTTCTATATATCTGTTTCTGTGCTCAAGAAATGACTGATGAGTTGTGACTTTGTTCTTTGGCCAAAAATTACTATAATTTTATTTTGGTTGCTTTTCTGCGAGCATTCAAAACGTTTTGAAGTGTACGTATAACATTTGGAATAAAAACTGGTTTCGCTTCTATTATACAAAAATTAATTGCTCAGAATACAGTCAAGTGTTGGAAGTTTACATTGTGATTGACTGTTACCTAACCGTGCAGGCAATACCGCACAACAATAATGCTTATAAAAATACAGACGCTTATACTATTCCCATGTAATGTAATACACTTATGGCTCTTAGGACACAAATTCTTTATGTCAAACATGTAGAAGCCAAACTTATGACTGGTGAATGTTACTCCATTCGACAGATTGAGGCGTAATGTCGTATTTCAGTAACAGAAAAATCTGAAGAGGGTATGTAAAACTAGTACTGTTGATAATAGAAGCGGTTGAGGTAGAAAGCTCACAAACTCTTTAAAAGGGATGTTAAGTACGCTGGGGTATATCCCTTCGATACCCCGGTATCGAAACCCGGTTTTTAGCGTTTTAAGTCCGCAGACATACCGCTGTGCCACTGGGGGGGGGCATTATTAGACTGTTGTACACTTACATTTACAGTCATGCTAACTGTACTACAAACCCATCGAAACAACATTAACTTACTTGTACAGTGTACACGACTATTTCAATTTAAGTTTGATGGGAGTGTTAAATTTAGATATTTTCTAGAAGCGATTGTTTATCTCAGGTTTGTTTACGTAACTGTGTATGAATCATATTTTGTGTAGTTCAGTTGTTGTGAATTGATGATTGTTGTATTATTGTGTCATGTTCTCGTTGTTTTGATTGAGCATTAATGCATCATAATATCTCATAGTGTGAAGATCATTTTAGGTCTGAGTTGGGTTATAAATATGCGTACAAAATATAGTTAGTTAGAGAGATAGTTAGATCTAGACTACGTGATTGTGAATTTAACCATAAATAGTGTATAGTAGCGACTTTGAAAGTCAAATTATCACAGACTGTATTGTATTAACATAGTATAGAAGAAATAACTTGTCAGTTATGTTCTAAAGTAATTGAACCAACCTATGTGGACTTGAACGAAAAGAAAGAACTATTTAAAGCTCTGGATACAACTGTGTTAACCAACAGTGTAGCGTAAGTGAAAGTATCACTGATTGTACTATAATAAAAGAGCCGATAATAATATTAGTCTTGTCAAATTGTATTCTAAAGTAACTGAACCAGTATGTGTGGACTTTGACCAAAAAGAGACAATTATTTAAAGTTCTGGATACAACTGTGATAACCAACAGTGTAACGAACATTTGTATAAACGTTTGACTTTTCTGATATATTATTTTAAAACAAGTGAATTGTGTGCTGTTTGTTTATTGTTGAAACTTTTCGCTAACAAGTCACAGACCCCCTTTGTAAAGAATCAGGCCCACACATACATAAAAACCTGACAGTGCGATAGAAAACACTGACAACAACTCTATTCCAAAGTAACTCTCTTTTTCTTAACCATCTC